TGAGTGGTTATTAACGAATGAATGAAACGCATTTGTCCGTGTTTCACTCCGTCTCGAATCGTGCTCGCGGAAAGCGCTTGAGAAACAGTGGGCTCTATCATACACCCGGCGCAATGCGGCGTTTTTTGCTAGTTTCAGCCCGACGCAGTTGTCATTTTCACGTCCTGCGCCACGTTGTTTAAATAGGAAATGCATTTGCGTCCATTTGTGCGCTCATGGGCGTGCTGGTCTGAAAACGAGGTGTGTTCAGGCGCATTGCTTGAGTGTTGCTATTTTGAGGCAACTGAAATAGACTGCACCATTGACCAACAAAAACCTGGTCTACATTTGCGCCCATTTGTGCACTCATGGGCGTGCTGGTCTGAAAAAGAGGTGTGTTCAGGTGCATTGCTGGCTCGTTGCTATTTTCAGGCAACTGAAATAGACTGCGCCATTGACCAACCTGCTCTAAAGTCAATGGCGCAGTAGTTTTTTTGTTATTTAAAGAGCGCGCTAGTATAGGCGGGTCCACCGCACAGACTGCGCCATTGACCAACCTGCTCTAAAGTCAATGGCGCAGTAGTTTTTTTGTTATTTAAAGAGTGCGTTAGTATAGGCGGGTCCACAGCGCACGTACACTCTTCTTATTACACACACAGGGACGCACAGCAGCACACAAACATGCCAAATATTAAAAATTAAAGGATTGCAATGTAAAAGATTATTATTGTGTAAGCTACATAAATGTAAAAATGCCTACATGTCATAATGGATAGTCATTGCATGTATCAGAATTAGCCTACCTATTTGCTCGCGCACGAGCAGCTCCGTTTCATCCCTGGAGACGCGTTCTGTCTTTGCACTTGCAAATTCCGCCATGTAAATAGCAAATATGCCATGGCACGAGCGCAACTGGCTCTTAAAGGGAATGGGAGATGAGACTCTTATTGAAGTGGGGTATAAGTGGTTATGAATGAGTGAATGAAACGCATTTGTCCGTGTTTCACGCCGTCTCGAATCGCGCTCACAGAAAGCGCTTGATAAACAGTGTCTATTCCGCAGCTCGGTACGCTTTCAACTCGTTTTTGTAGTCTCGAGCAAGACTGTACGACATTCACATTACACGATTTGACTGATTTTTACTTAGAAAGGGCGACAGCGCACCGCATTCAAAGAAATGATCATTCATGTTTTCATAACCGCTGGCCAAATTCAAAAACAAAACTAAAATCAAATCATCTTTGAGAGCAAGGGGGCCCCCTGGTGTTTCGGGGGCCCTACGCAGCTTGCGTATTTTGCGTATAGGGAGGATCGGCTCTGGATGCAGACGACATGACCACAAACATTTATGTACTATAACAACTACCAATGTTTAAAAAATAGCTCATTTAGTGTCAACATTTCATTAAAGATTAGAGTTTACTACTTCAAAATCATAGTAAACCATGCTTTTTTTAATAGATTAATATTCTTACGGTGTTTATGCAACGCGGCGTTAGGCAATGAAATATTTATTTTTATTATATTTATTCCTATTTAATATTTCTAGATGTATATTACGTACATTTTTTATTTCATTTTACTTATGTAACTTTTCTAGATGTATATTATGTGAAGTTTTTTATTTACAAAATACTTATTTAATTTTTCTTCACATACATTACATTCAGTTTTTATTCAGTTCTGCTTATTTAATTTATATATATATATATATATATATATATATATATATCTTATCTAATTTTTCTAGATGCATATTACAATACAGTTTTTTATTTAATTCTACTTGTTTGATTTTTCTAGATGTAATTACGTGAAGTTTTTATTTAATTCTACTTATCTAATTTTTCTCGATGCATATTACAATACAGTTTTTTATTTAATTCTACTTGTTTGATTTTTCTAGATGTAATTACGTGAAGTTTTTATTTAATTCTACTTATCTAATTTTTCTAGATGCATATTACAATACAGTTTTTTATTTAATTCTACTTGTTTGATTTTTCTAGATGTAATTACGTGAAGTTTTTATTTAATTCTACTTATCTAATTTTTCTAGATGCATATTACAATACAGTTTTTTATTTAATTCTACTTGTTTGATTGTTCTAGATGTAATTACGTGAAGTTTTTATTTAATTCTACTTATCTAATTTTTCTCGATGCATATTACAATACAGTTTTTTATTTAATTCTACTTGTTTGATTTACAATACAGTTTTTTATTTAATTCTACTTGTTTTATTTTTCTAGATGTAATTACGTGAAGTTTTTATTTAATTCTACTTATCTAATTTTTCTAGATGCATATTACAATACAGTTTTTTATTTAATTCTACTTGTTTGATTTTTCTAGATGTAATTACGTGAAGTTTTTATTTAATTCTACTTATCTAATTTTTCTAGATGCATATTACAATACAGTTTTTTATTTAATTCTACTTGTTTGATTTTTCTAGATGTAATTACGTGAAGTTTTTATTTAATTCTACTTATCTAATTTTTCTAGATGCATATTACAGTACAGGTTTTTTATTTTAGTCTACTTGTTTGATTTTTCTAGATGTAATTACGTGAAGTTTTTATTTAATTCTGCTTATTTAATTTGTCTAGATGTATATCTCAAAGTTTTGATGTAATTCTACTTATTACATTACATTTTAAATTCTGCTTATTTAGTTTTTATTTAATTCTATTTAATTTCTCTCTCTCTCTCTCTCTCTGTATATATATATATATATGTGTTATGTTAAGTTTTAATTTACTTCTAATTATTTAAGTGTATATTATGTTAAATTTGTATTTAATTCTACCTTTATTAAATTTTTCTAGGTGTACATTAAGTTTTTTTTAATGTAATTCTACTTATCTAAATTTTCTAGATATATGTTTATTTTTACTTCTGCTTATTTACTTTTTCTAGATGTATATTGCATTTTAAATTCTGCTTATTTCGTTTTTATTTAATTCTACTCATTTAATTTCTCTCTCTCTCTCTATATATATATATAATGTTAAGTTTTAATTTACTTCTAATTATTAAATTTTTCTAGATGTATTGTGTTATGTTAAATTTGTGTTCAATTCTACTTATTTAGTTTTAATTTAATTCTACTTAATTTTTTTCACTAGATGTATATTACGTACATTTTTTACTTCATTCTACCAAGAGGATGTCATCAGTAAAGGTCTGTTTTTAAATGCTTTTTCCGCACAGAGAGTGTTTGTGATTCCAGCCGGAAACCAGTCACACATGCCTTATTCCAGAGTCAACCACAACAAATACCTGGTGACGGATAAAGTGGCGTATGTCGGTGAGTTACGGCCCGAAGACTCAAACTAAACACACAGATGCTGAACTGAACTGAAACTAAACCTGTTTGTGTTCAGGCACGTCTAACTGGTCAGCTGACTACTTCAACACCACAGCCGGCGTGGCTTTGGTGCTTTCCCAGGACGCTTCGGGAAGCTCGTTCCATCAGCAGCTGAGAGCCGTGTTTGACAGAGACTGGAGCTCTCGATACTCTCATCCGCTCGCTGACCTCCACCGAATCCACGACTGCGCTTTCTCCACGTCTGCACCCTCTCAGCATGAAACCTGAAATACTCATATATCACGTGCATGTTAAACTGTAATAAGTCTCTAAATAAGAGAACTTCTGTATTTTTAAAGAAAAAAATGAGTCTCTTATGCAGTACAGTTAAATCAATAATACATTGAATAGATAATAGAATAGATGTAGCATTTCAGTGCTCTAGCTTGAATATATATCAAAGTAATCAAAATTATTAGGACAGTTTTATGGCAGAGATGTTGAAATATTCTGTAAATTCTGCTCTAGAATGTATAAACAAATGCTATATAGATATATATTTCACAATCTTTTCTGTCAGTATTTTTCTCCTCAAATAATCATAAAATTAAAAAAATGAAATTACAATGAAAATATATACATTTTCACTTTTTTTTTACTTTATATAATTTCATAATCGTTTTGTCAGTATTTTTATAATTACAATGAAAATATATACATTTTCACTTTTTTTTTACTTTATATTATTTCATAATCGTTTTGTCAGTATTTTTATAAAATGTAATAAAATATAAATATATAATATATTCTTCACTTTTTTACTTTGTGTGTGTGTTTTATAATATAATAAATATATTTTAATATTATTATAAATGTGGTATTATATTATATAATAATGTAAAATATATTAAATCTAATTTTTACATGTATATATCTAAAGAAAAAAGTGAAAAGTATATATAAAATATAAGTTTTATACACTTTTTTGACTTGAATATATAGAATTTCAAAATCTTTTTCAGTATTTTTCTCCTCAAATAATTATAACATTTAAAAAAAGTTAAAATTAAAAAATATATAAAATATAATTTTCACTTTTACATATATATGTTTATATTCTTACCTATGTATATATGCTATATATAAATTAAATGTGTATTTTATAATATTATAAATGTAATAAGATTATTAAAAATATGTATAAGTAAAAAAGTATTTATATATAAAATATATTTTTCACTTTTTTACTTTAATATGTTAAGTAAAAAAGTGAAAAATTATATTTTATATAATATTTTGCATTATTATATAATACACCTTTTTATGTTATTTTTAATATCATATTCATAATATTGTAAAATACACATTTTAGTAGTAGTAGCGTTTTTAATAATGGTTAGAATTATATATATATATATGAGATTTTGCTAGTTACAGTGTACCATAGTAAACACAGGTAAAACCACGACTCAAATATAAAACAGATATCTGTGAAAAAAATATTAAATAGAACATTTATAAAGTATAAGAGTTTAGCACAAGCCCGCCGTGAAGCGTCAGCGGCAATGACGTCACGTGACGCACTGACGCCGCGCAGGAAGGGGCGGAGCTTCAGTGCCGCTGAGCGACGTGTTCTAATCACACGGTTAGCTGCACGTTCATCACAGAAGATATGGTGTTATTAGAAAACGACGCGGTAAGAGCACTTCATATCTCCCGTTCAGCGTTTACCAGTCGGTGATATCCCTGTGCTGCACGAGAGATTCTGAGTTCGCGTGTTTAATCGGGCGGCGTCGAGTCCAAACATGTTAGCAAGCTAAGTCCCACAAACTCCACACACTGATTTGTGCTGCTCTGGGGACGACTGACTCGTATTGCAGCGGTTTTCAGCTCATATTAAAGTAGTCGTGTTATTATGTACTGTAAATAATGTTCAGGTTAGAGGTTTAGGGTAGCTAATCACTTTCTGCTTCGTTGTAATAGGAGAAATCTCAATAATTCGTTTATTTTATGATCACGATGAAGTGTGAATGTTATTAATAACCTTTAAACGTGGTATCACAATGAATCAGCCTCTTGTAGACTTGAGTTAAAGCTGTACAGGAGCTCAGCACAAGCTTGAGTTTCTGTCTTTTATTAATACACACTGCTGGTCAAAAGATGGGATCAGTGAGATTTGTAGTGTTTCTAAAGAAGTCTCTTCTGCTCATCAGGCCTGCATTTATTTGAGCAGAAATACAGCAAAAGCAGTAATATTCTGAAATATTTTTACTATTTAAAATATCTGTTTTCTATTTGAATATCTGTTAAACTGTAATTTATTTCTGTGATCAAAGCTGTATTTTCAGCATCATTACTGCAGTCTTCAGTGTCACATGATCTTCAGAAATCATAATAATATGCTGATTTATTATCAATATTGAAACTGTTGCTGCTTAATATTTGTTTTGGAACCTGTGATACTTTTTTCAGGATTCTTTGATGAATAAAAAGTTAAAAAGAACAGCATTTATTTAAAATAGAAATATTTTGTAACAATATACACTACCGGTCAAAAGTTTGGGGTCAGTATTTTTTTATTTTATTTTTGAAACAAATTAATGCTTTTATTCAGCAAGGATTTCTATTTTAAATAAATGCTGCTCTTTTTAACTTTATATATTAATATTTATTTATTTATAAATATAATGTGCTACCAAAGAGGAAGTAGGTCCTTCAAGTAATTTTCTTAAAGGGATAGTTCACCCAAAAATGCAAATTTCCTCATGATTTACTCACCCTCAAGCCATCCTAGCTGTATATGACTTTCTTCTTTCAGACGAATATAATCAGAGTTATATTAAACCATGTCCTGGCTCTTCCAAGATTTATAATGGCAGTGAATGGGGGTCGAGAGTTTGAAGCCCAAAAAATTGAGTCCATCCATTATAAAAAGTGCTCCACAATGCTCCAGGGGGTTAATAAAGGCCTTCTGAAGTGAATCAATGTGTTTGTGTAAGAAAAATATTCATATTTAAAACTTTGTTTGTAAAGTGAAATATCTAGCTTCCGGCTGACTGCCTTCCGTATTCAACTTATAATGGGAGTGGATGGTAGCCCAAAAAATTGCGCCCATCCATTATAAAGAAGTCCACACGACTCCGCGGGGTTAATAAAGGCCTTCTGAAGCGACTCAATGCGTTTGTGTAAGAACAATATCCATATTTATCTCGTTCACGAGAGCGTGGCGTCCAGCGGATGACGTAAGACGTAGGCAGACGCGGTGACAAAACACCGGTCACGAATTAGAAGTACAAAACGAGGATTTGTGAAGAAAAATGTGGGAGGATTTCGATATAACCCAAGAGGAGACTGGTTTTCCTTTGCTGTAAACAAAACTTGTTTCTCGCGAGACTAGCATACTCTCACCGGAGCTTATGCTACGCCTAGGTCTTACGTCATCAGTTAGCGGAAGCTAGAGATTAAGGTTTATAAAGTTGTAAATATGGATATTGTTCTTACACAAATTTAAATGTGTGTAGGAATAATATATTAGTATTATTTAGGTTTAATTTCTGATTAGTTTTATTTCCCCCCCCGTTGGTAATTAAACTTATTTCGTTAGTTGCAAAGGCAAGATTTCTAGTTTACACCTAATATTTCTATTTATTTCAGCTTTATTGCAATTAACAATTTTTTATGTGTATAGTTTTAATGGCACTAATGCATTGGCATTTTGAGCTCTGCACAGTTTTATTGATATATTAAATGATGATCCTGATCTGCAGATGACGGCAGAACGAAGCCGATCCCCAGAAAAGGCCATCCAGAGACGTTTGAAGCGGCCGACAACAAATGTCTCCTCCGAGCGTCAGATGGCAAGAACAAAATCAGCACAGTGGTGAGAAAACCGCATTCAATCACACCTGTGAGTGTGTGTGTGTGTGTGTGTGTGTGTGTTAGAGAGTGTGTGTGTGTGTGTGTGTGTTAGAGAGTGTGTGTGTGTGTGTGTGTGTGTTAGAGTG